TTAAAGATCACTTTGATAGCTCTGGGAATAACTTTTATGATTTTGAGAACATCTTTGATGTCTTGGAGAACAACATTGATGTTTAGAGAACAACTTTGATGACCAAGATTAACTTTAGATGTCTCTGAGAATAACTTTTATAACATAGAAATTAACTTTAGATGTCTCTGAAAATATCTTTGATGACTTCGAGAATAACATTTGATGACTTTGAAAACAAGTTTGATGAACGAAGATGTTTTGGAAAGTTTCTCTGATGAACGAAGGTAACTTAGAGATTAACTTTTATGATTTAGAGAACATCTTTGATGTCTTAGAGAACAAGATTGATGTCTTAGAGAACAACTTGGATGAACAAAGATGTCTTAGAAAGCTTCTCTGATGAACGAAAAGATACTTAGAGAATAACTTTGACGACTGTATTTAACTTTTTGATGGCTCTGAGGACAGTTTTTGTTGAACGAGGATGTCTCAGAAGGCTTCTTTGAATAACAAAGGTGACTCTGAGAATAACTTTGATGACTCTGAGAAAGACTTTGTTGTCTTAGAATAACTTTTGATTGTTCTGAGAATAACTTTAGATATCTCTGAGAATAAGTTTGATGAACGAAGATATCTTACAGAGCAAATTTTATGTTTTGAAGAATAACTTTTTGATGACTCTGGGAATAACTTTGAGGGCTTAGAGAATAACTTTAGATGACTTTGAGAATGTCTTTGGATAATTCTGAGATTAACTTTGATGTCTTTGAAACAACATTGATGAATTGGAGAATGTCTTTGAGAACATGAGTAGTATTTTGTTAGCTCAGAGAATAACTTTTGTTGACATAGAGAATAACTTTTATGTCTTAGAGAAGAACATTGATGGCTTAGAGAGAATATCTTTGATGAAAGATGATGTCTTGGATTAACTTTGACGTCTCTTGGATTAACTTTGATGACTGAGAGTGAGTTAGAGATTACCTTTGTTAACTCTGAGAATAACTTTGATGAACAAAGATGTTTTGGAAAGTTTCTCTGAAGAACGAAGGTGACTCTGAGAATAACTTTTGTTAGCTCTTTGAATAACTTTGAGAATGACTTCTGAGAACATGGGTAGTATTTGAATGCGTCTTTGATGTAATGAAAAGTAACTTTGATGACTCGAAGATATCTTGCAGATCAACTTTGATGACAGAGATTAACTTTTGTTGTTTTAGAGATTAACTTTTGATAGCTCCGAGAAAAACTTTTATGCCTCTGAGATTAACTTTAATGAACGAAGATGTCTTAGAAAGTTCTCTGATGAATGAAAGGCTACTTGGAGAATAGCATTTTGATGACTGAGATTAACTTTTTGATGACTCTGAGAATAACTTTGAGGATGCGAGTAAATTTTTGAGTGTTTGAGAGTGTCTTTTTGTTATCTCGAAGAGTAACTTTGGTGTTACGGAGAGCACCTTTGACTATTTTTCTTACTTAACGACATATAATTTTTACGAAAGTGCTGAAAAAGTTACATTTGACTATTTTTTCTTACTTAGCGACATATAATTTTAGTTATGAAAGTGTTGAAAAAGTTACATTTGACTCTTTTAGTTGAGGAAAAAGACAAAACATGACGAGGGAGACTATTTTTTGTGCTCCCCAAAGTATAATGTCAGTTAAGAACAGCGATGAAAGATATCTTTGACTATATTTTCTTACTTGACGATGGATAAAGTTAGTTATGAACAGTGCTGAAAGAAGTTTCCTTTGACAATTTTTAGCTAAGCGAAAGGTTGTTTTAGTTAAGAACGGTGTTGAATGAGGTTAATCCTGACTATTTTAAATGAGAGAAGTGATATTTCAGTTAAGAAATGACAAGGAAACATGATGAACTAACTATTTTTAGTTGACCGATGATTACTTTTAGTTGAGCAAAAGCCAAAACATGATGAACATGACTTTTTCTGATGATTGGCCGATAATTTTAGTTATGAAATGACAATGAAACATGAAGAACACGGTTATTTTCTGATGACTGGGGAATAAGTTTAGTTAAGAACAGTGCTGGAAAGATTCCTTTGACAATTTTTCTTACTTAGCGACATATAATTTTAGTTACGAAAGTGTTGAAAAAGTTACATTTGACTATTTTTTAGTGCTCCACAAAGTATAAATGTCAGTTAAGAACGACGATGATAGATATGTTTGACTATATTTTCTTTCTTGACGAAAACATAATGGCTGTTACGAAATGATGAATATGACTTTTTCTGTTGATTGATGGATAATTTTAGTTATGAAATGACAATGAAACAAGAAGAACACGGTTATTTTCTGATGACTAGGGAATAAGTTTAGTTATGAACAGTGTTGGAAAGATTCCTTTGACAATTTTTAGTTGACTGGATAATAAGTTTAGTTGAGAAATGACGAAAGTGACTATGTTTTAGTTGATTGGCGAAAGATTTTTTTTTAGTTAAGGAACGTTAAATAACATGTAAGGGGAAAACCTAGAGAACATATGGGGAACATGGTAAAGAACACATGTAAGAAAAGTTGATGAATACAGTGAACATGCTGGGAATATGAACTTACAGAGAACATGAAAACATGATAAGGAGAATAGGGAATACAAAGAATGAACAATGGACTTGTGAAGAACATGGAGAATATGACAAAGAATGTAGAAAACATGTAAGTGAAGGTGAAAAAACGAAGTGATCTTGTGAGGAACATGAACTTGTAGAGGAACATGAATATTGCAAAGAACACAAAATATGGAAGTTAGCATGAATATTGAGTATAAAAGTTGTAAAGAGAACATGTGATGAACATGAAAACATAGAAAATATGACTAGAATTTGTAGAGAAAGTAATGAGACTAAGAGAAAGATTACAGAAAAAAATGGAGATACTTGTGAAAATATGAACTGAATGGGACTGTGAACATTTGAAGAACATGGAGTGAACACGGATGAGAATACGAAGAACACAGTGAATATAGAGAAAATATGCAAATACAGGGGGACAAGAGCTGGAGCTCTGTAACTGACTTGATCTTATTTACTACGTCTGAAATATAACTGTTTAAAATTTCAGGGGGATTGGACTGCTAGTAGCGAAATGTGGTCTCTGCCAAATTTGGGTCTTTAATTGGACTCTGATTAATTTCGATCATGAACTGGACTCTGAATATTTGGCACAAAGTAGACTCTGGCGAATTTTGCTAGAAAACTGGACTCTGATGAATTTCGATCAAGAACTGGACTCTGTCACATTTTCACAGATTACAGGACACTGATGAAATTTGCTCTCAAAGTAGACTCTGGCGAATTTCTGTTGATAATTGGACTCTGATGAAATTTGAGCTAAATACTGTCTCTGACTAATTTGCTGACAAAGTGGACTCTGTTCATTTTTAGGTATAAAATGGTCTCTGATGAAATATGAGCTAAAACTGTCTCTGACGAATTTTGCTCTCAAAATAGACTCTGGCGAATTTCTGTTGATAATTGGACTCTGATGAAATATGAGCTTAAAACTGTCTCTGACTAATTTTGCTCACAAAGTGGTCTCTGTTCATTTTTAGGTATAAAATGGGTTCTGACGAATTTCTGTCTATAACTGGGCTCTGTTCAATTTTGGTCTTTACAGGTGAAATAGCTGTAAATGGATATAAAACTAAATGTTATGGCTAAGTTGTCTGTTTTCCTTAACAAAACATCTAAGACAATATTCTCTGAAAATGGTCCTTTTACAAATGTGTGATTGAAAACGGGCAAAGGTTGTCCATAGAGTTTACCTGAAAACCCTGGCTCACACGCGAGATATTGGAACCTCAAAACCCTGGCTCACACCGACGATATTGGAACCTGCAAACCATGGCTCACACAGACGATATTCTAAATTTACTTGAAAAACCCTGGCTCACAGACACGATATTTCCCAGAAACAAAATATTGCCTGAAAAACCCTAAGCCACACAGACGATATTTCCCAGAAACAAAATATCGCCTGAAAAACCCTAAGCCACACAGACGATATTTCCCAGAAACAAAATATCGCCTGAAAAACCCTAAGCCACACAGACGATATTTCCCAGAAACAAAATATCGCCTGAAAACCCCTAAGCCGTACAGACGATATTTTCCCCCCCCAAAAAAATATCGTCTGTGCGTCTTCCACCCTACTACTGTGTAGTGTTCCTGGTGTAGTGTCCCTGGTGTAGTGTTCCTGGTGTAGTGTTCCTGGTGTAGTGTTCCTGGTGTAGTGACCCTGGTGTAGTGTTCCTGGTGTAGTGTTCCTGGTGTAGTGTTCCTGGTATAGTGACCCTGGTGTAGTGTCCCTGGTGTAGTGTTCCTGGTGTAGTGACCCTGGTATAGTGACCCTGGTATAGTGTTCTTGGTGTAGTGACCCTGGTGTAGTGACCCTGGTGTAGTGACCCTGGTGTAGTGACCCTGGTGTAGTGACCCTGGTATAGTGTTCTTGGTGTAGTGTTCCTGGTGTAGTGTTCCTGGTGTAGTGACCCTGGTATAGTGACCCTGGTATAGTGTTCTTGGTGTAGTGTTCCTGGTGTAGTGATCCTGGTGTAGTGACCCTGGTGTAGTGACCCTGGTATAGTGTTTTTGGTGTAGTGTTCCTGGTGTAGTGTTCCTGGTGTAGTGACCCTGGTATAGTGACCCTGGTATAGTGTTCTTGGTGTAGTGACCCTGGTGTAGTGACCCTGGTGTAGTGACCCTGGTATAGTGTTCTTGGTGTAGTGCTCCTGGTGTAGTGATCCTGGTGTAGTGACCCTGGTGTAGTGACCCTGGTGTAGTGTGTCTGATGCAGTGCTGCAAGGAGTAAGAACTATAGTCATATCGTTTGTGCTAATATTTTAGTCACTTTTTCACTTTCACTCCATCTTTTCCCTGTGTTCTCCCCCCTCTCACTTCTCAGTCTCTCCCTCTCCCTCTCCCTCCCTCTCCCTCTCCCTCTCCCTCTCCCTCTCCCTCTCCCTCTCCCTCTCCCTCTCCCAGGTGGAGCCTCACCAACGCTGGAGAACTCCTCCTGGAGTCCGTCGACGAGGTCCTGGTTGATGGCGTCGTCTGGGAGGAGGTTGAGGTCGACGACCGCCACCTCGCCCGTGTCCGCCCCGCCGCTCACAGCTGCAAGGTAGACAATAGTCTGTTTACACCCATGGCAACAGACCCATAACACCCATGGTAACACCCAGGCAACAGACCCATAACACCCATGGTAACACCCAGGCAACAGACCCATAACACCCATGTTGTGTGTACATGGTTCGAGAGACCCATTACAATATATCACATAATAGGTCCAAGAATTGGGGGAAGGAGTAAATTGGGAGAACAGCTGGGTGTAATTGTCTTGCTTCTACAGCGGCAGTAAACACAGAAGTGCGCAGAGCTGTGCGCACTCCTGTTAACCGCACGTGCGCGGTAATATCTGCGCAGGCGCCGTATGTGCGCACCTACATTCTTCACCCATTGTCTATACATAGACAAGACTCAACTTCAGCACCCACATATAACACATAATCAAAAAATTCTCAAAAACGGTCTATACACTTTCTAAAATTCAGCTACAATGTACCCGTTGATAATCCTAAAATCTTACTATATGGTACCTATTAGTTTTCTTCAAATTTCCTTACAATGTACATTTTATCATTCTTCACATTTTGCTACAAACTACCTGCTTAAAATTATCTGTTAGGTTAAGGACCTGCCCGTAACCCTATGCGGGTTAGTGGCTTTACAAGAATGTAAAAACATCAATGCTATGTACTTTCATAAACCCAATGTACCTAGTTGTATATATATAAATAAATAAATAAATCAATAAATAAATAAATAAATTCAAACAAGAACTGAGTGCAAGCGCACGCGCACACAGCTGCGCTGGTACCCCAGCTTGATGGGGTTGTGGGAGTTGTTCTACTCCCCTTGTCCGGCCCGAGGCCAGGCTTGACTTGTGAGAGTTTGGTCCACCAGGCTGTTGCTTGGAGCGGCCCGCAGGCCAGGCTTGACTTGTGAGAGTTTGGTCCACCAGGCTGTTGCTTGGAGCGGCCCGCAGGCTCACATACCCACCACAGCCCGGTTGGTCCGGCACTTCTTGAAGAAAACTATCTAGTTTCCTCTTGAAGGTGTTCACGGTTGTTCCGGCAATATTTCTGATGCTCGCTGGTAGGACGTTGAACAACCGCGGACCTCTGATGTTTATACAGTGTTCTTTGAGTGCTCTTCACCTCTGCTCTTCACTGGTTCTATTCTGCATTTTCTTCCATATTGTCCACTCCAGTACGTTGTTATTTTACTGTGCCGATTTGGGACCTGCCCTCCAGTATTTTCCAGGTGTATATTATTTGTTATCTCTCTCGTCTCCTTTCTAGGGAGTACATTTGGAGAGCTTTGAGACGATCCCAATAATTTAGGTGTTTTATCTCGTCTATACGTGCCGTATATGTTCTCTGTATTCCCTCTATTTCAGCAATCTCTCCTGCTCTGAAGGGGGAAGTGAGTACTGAGCAGTACTCAAGACGGGACAACACAAGTGATTTGAAGAGTACAACCATTGTGATGGGATCCCTGGATTTGAAAGTTCTCGTAATCCATCTTATCATTTTTCTGGCTGACGCAATATTTGCTTGGTTATGCTCCTTAAACGTTAGGTCGTCAGACATTATTATTCCCAAATCCTTTACATGCTGTTTTCCTACTATGGGTACATTTGGTTGTATTTTGTACCATGTATTATGTTTCGGGTCCTCATTTTTACCGTACATGAGTACCTGGAATTTATCAATGTTAAACATCATGTTATTTTCTAATGCCCAGTCGAAAATTTTATTAATATCTGTTTGTAGTTTTCATTGTCTTCAGCGGAGGTAATTTTCATGCTGGTTTTTGTGTAATCAGCAAACAATGATACGAAGCTGTGACTTGTATTTTTGTCTATATCTGATATGAGAATAAGGAACAAAAGTGGTGCAAGGACTGTACCTTGAGGTACAGAGCTTTTAACTGCGCTTGGACTCGATTTTATATGGTTGACTGTTACTCTTTGTGTTCTGTTCGACAGAAAACTGAGTATCCAGCGGCCTTATTTTCCAGTTATACCTATTGACCTCATTTTGTGTGCTATCACTCTATGGTCACATTTATCGAATGCATTTGCCAAGTCCATGTATACCCCATCTGCATTCTGTTTTTCTTTTAAGGCCTCAGTGACTTTGTCGTAATGGTCAAGTAGCTGTGAGAGGCATGATCTTCCTGCTCTAAATCTATGTTGGCCTGGGTTGTGGAGGTCATTGGTCTCCATGAATTTAGTGACCTGACTCCTGATCACTCTCTCAAATACTTTTGAGAGAGTGATCAGATTTTTGAGAGAGTGTGGGACGTTAGTGCAACTGGCCTATAATTCTTTGCCAATGCTTTGCTCCCTCCCATGTGTACCGGGGCAATGTCTGCTGCTTTAAGCGCATCTGGTATCTCCCCCGTGTCCAAGCTCTTCCTCCACACTATACTGAGTGCCTGTGCTACTGGCACTTTGGATTTTTATATAAATATTGAATTCCATGAGTCTGGACCCGAGGCCGAGTGCATGTTGTAAATTTCCCTTTCAAAATCTGCCACGCTCGTGTTGTTATCAGTTATATTTACAGGTGTTTGGATATCACGCATAAAGAAGTTGCCCGGATCTTCCACTTTCATGCTGTGTATCGGAGTGCTTTTTTAGGATTTCACAAATTTCTTTGTCAATTTCAGTGTATGAACCTTCACTTGTACTAATATGTCCAGTACTGGCAGTTTTTGCTTTTGATTTAGCATATATGAAGAAATATTTCGGGGCTTTTCTCCATTCCTTGAATTGCTTTGTATTCTAGTTGTCTTTCTTCAGTCTGATATGAATGCTTTAGTCTCTGCTCGATTTCTTCACACTCCCCATTCAGCCACACGCCCACA